AAAAAACAAAGGAAAAAGAAATCGGAAGCCATGGTTTAAAATCAAGGAAAATCATATAAATGATCGTGATAGCTGAATTCTCTTGGCAGTAAGAGAATCGCTGCCCCAGATCCACACACTTCTTGAAGGTCAAGGTCAAGGGAGCCAAGGAAGGGCTGTCCCTTCAGATTGAAGTCTCTGGGCCTCCCTGAGCCCATGGTGAAGCCAGAGTCAAGTGTCATGTGCTGCCACATTCATTTTAGCAGAGATGTTTTTCTCTGTCATCCATATTTATATCAAAACTGAGGAAATGAAAGCCAGGCCAAGGGCGGGAGCAGTTTGTTTTTTCTTCTACTACTGTCTCCATTGGCTGCCCGTAAACCTTGTAGGCCTCTGAGTTTGCAGATCTTGTTTTAGGATGGTGGAATTTTCTGCAAATGGCTCTGTGTAAGACCTAGAGATCTTTGTGAAATCTCAAATTCAGCTCCTTGAAGACTGATACAACCAGGCCCTCAACACCACCAGCTTCTCAGTGTACTCAGTGTCAGGGTCTGCTCAGCTTTTCCACCTGGCTGAAGCCTGCACCTAGGCCCTCCACAGGTACCTCACAAATGAGTGCTCCACCTATTGCATGACCAGCCTTATACAGAAGAGCCAATTGACTTCTTGCAATTGACTGAACGGTAATCCCTAAAGATAGGCCTGACTCCCATTAACTGTGACTGTATCTTATATGGACTCTGCAGATGTGATTACATTAAAGATCTTGAGTTGGGAAATGGCCTTCAATAACTTGGACAAAACGTAAGTGGAAGTGCATAGATCCTTCTAAGAAGGAGATCTAATATCCACACAGATAGAAGAGGAGGATGTGATGTGTGTGCCAGCCAAAGGAGGCTGGCAGGCACCAGAAATCTGAAAGGGCAGGCAACAAATTCTCCCCTAAAGCCTCTGGATCTTTTCCTGCAAACATCTTGATTCGGGACCTGGAGACCCACTCCATATTTCTGGCCCCCCCAAACTATAAGAGCATAAATGTCCATTGTTTTAATCTTCCCAGATGGAGTGCCACAGCCACCTAGGGCTTAGAGAAGAAAGCAATGCCAGCCCATCCAATCCCAAGGGCAGAAGAACAGGCCTTCTGATCCAGTCAGGTCTCTTCTTCCTATACTTGCTTCTTCTTTCTACTTGGACTCCCTCCTCATCCCCTGACTAGGATAAAAGACAGTTACTGAGGTAGGGCCCAGATCGCAGAGTCAGGCACTATTCATATACATTTGTTAGTGCATATAGATGCATGCACATGCATACAAGAACCAGACCGGCTAATGTCACACACACCAGCCGCTACCCTCTGACGTAAGAGTCCCCTGGAATAAGGCTGGCTTTAGGAAAGCATGCAACAGAAAGTCATTATTCCTAAGAAAGGCCCGTGGCTCCAAAGAGGACTGGGGGGGGGATGCATCAACTGCCTATTTCAAAAGGTCACCTTAGATCCCTGGCTTCAGAGCTTGGCCTCTGTCCCCCAAGGCACCCAGACACAGTGGAGCTAAGTAAACATGCAGCAGTAGACCTCTGAATGGCCAATGAGGACAGAAAAGCCCCCTGCCCCAACACTTTGCTCTTCCTCATAGCCTCCTCTAGGGCCACAATGGGATGCTATCATGAGCTAAAAGGCCCATTGGCCCCCAGCCAAGTCTGAGTTGGAGAAACAGCAGTGAGTGATCATGACAGAGGATTAGTGAAAACCAATTTCTGAGGCTTTGTGAGTCTCTGAGATCACCCCCAGGAAGCTTGTTGTCTTCTTTGCACCCCTGAGGAGAAGCCATGTGGGCTCTAGGCACCCTACAGACATAGGTAACCCCAAGAGCCCAGGACATATGCATCCTCTTCCCTATGGGACTTGACACACAAACTACCTATCAATATGTAGTGGAATATTTCCAAACTACTTCCAGAAGTTGCCCTGGGTGAGGTGGGACGATCTCTCCAGTCAACACCTCCTGCCTGAGTTAGCCATAGCCACATGGATAGAATTTACTGGAAGAAAAGGTCCCTGCTGTGGTTTGGATGTATTCTGTCTCATGCCTTGGAAAGTGGCTCTTGCTATTCTGACACCACCAGGCACTAGGCACTTACCAGAGTCCCAACCAATGGGATTGCCTAATCTTGAGCTTTCAGACTTCCAAACTGTAAACTAATTAAGCCTCTTTTCTTTATAAATTTAGCCTACCCTGGGTGTTTTACGATAGTAACAAAAATGAACTAATACAGTCCTTTAGCGTCTAAGCCCATTTTGCATTGTCCTAACAAAATACCCTTATACCTAACAAAAATACTCCTTATAAATAAGGAGGTTTATGATCCCAGTGGCTAGAAAGTCCAAAAAGCAAGGCTCCTACATCTTGGCTTGGCCTTCCCTTTGACTTAATCACAACATGTTGAAGAGGTAGAAAGGAAAACACAGCAGTTGGCAAGAAGCCGAGCACAGGGAGTGATCTCCGTCTATAGCGATCTTATAAGAATTCATTCACTCCTGTGCATCCTAACCAAATCCGTGAAACCAGTTTAATCTACTCATCGGAGTGGAGCCTCTATGAGCGGACCACCTCCCACTAGGCTCCTCCTCTTAAAGGGTCCACCACTTCAACAGTGCTCTACCGGAAACCAAGCTTACAAAATATGAAACTTTGGGGCACACAACACATCCAAACCATAGTACCTTGCTTATAAATGATACACATGCACCCCCACATACATATATACTCCCCGTATACTCTCTGCACTGAGGTCCCAGGGCTTTGTCCTTTTCTCCACCCAGGGACTGAATTCAGCTGTCACTCTGGGCCCTCACAAGTCCCAGTCTGATGGAAAGTTGAACTGCCTGAAGTCACCCCAGGCCCTCAGCCCAGCCCTGGCATAAACTGTGCTGGGACCTCTTCCAGCCAGTGAGTCGACCTCAGCCTTGGGCCACGTAAGAGGAAACAGAGGAAACAGGCTCCCTGTGGGCCCAAGTCGCTCATGAAGGATTGTGTGGACAGCAACGTCAAAAAATAAAAGAAAGAACCAAGCTCCAGGCCATAGCTGTGGTCTTGACCTAGCCCAAGGCCCACACCCTGTCCACAGCCTGAGCTCCCAGCTGGAGACACTGGGCTTGAAGCCCAGGTCTGAGGCCTCGAGCTCAGCCTTGGACAGGTCGCCTCCTCCTCACAATGGCCAACTACCAGCCCCCATGGTCCAATCAAGCCTCACCCCTGACCTAGACAGCCAGGATGATCTAGCAGCTTCTATGGCCAATGCTTTCTGCGCTTATTCTGAGTTTGAAACTTCTTTCCTGTGTTTTGAGTTCCAAATTCCCATTAAAGATATGTGGATTAGGATTATAAAATGGAAGGATGATTCAATACAAAAAGGCCAAAACACAAGCAGAAATCCAGAAAACAGAGCCAAGCTAGCTAGACTACAAGGGAAGTGCTATCACATTCAGGAAGATAAGCACCATATGGAATTTGGGCTCAGAGACATAGCCAAGGGCACCTGGCCAGCTCCACTGTGCAACCTCCACCCTGAGCCAGCAGAGAGTGAGGAACTAGAACCACCCAGAATCTTCCAGTAGAGGCCATATCAAAAATACCAAGCCTGAAACCCAAAGCAGCCACGCCATGGGATCTTTGAAAGGCAGGCATTCCTAACCCAGATGTATGATAAAATAGAAGCCAGAGGCTCAAATTTGCCAAAGGCCTGCTGATAAGTGACAGAACAAATGGGGGCCCTTTCCCCTGCCCCGTTTTTATACTTGCCCTCCAGAGAGACTTGTCTCCCCACCAGAAAAGCCCAAGGTGAGAAGGAGGCAGGAGGAGGGGCTGAGGCTGAGGTAGGGAAGGCTAAGCAGGTAAGTGCCCAGCCAAGCGGATGACAGCCAAGGTGGACAGCGATTCATTACCAGGAAAGAAGGGGCCGCCAGAGTATTGATTGGCTTCAGAGAATACCGAGCTTCTTGATGGAACAATTCCTTTGCAAAGGTATTCAACATGCTTTCTTGAAATTAGAATGGTGCTCTGCCAGGCTGCACCCAATTGATCTGTCAAGCTGGGAGGCCAGAGAGACCTAAAATAAATGAGCCAGGGTTGCCCGGAGGAATAGGAGTATTTCAGAAATCACAGCACGAGGGGTTTGGCCTAGCCAGTAGTACCCAGATGTACTTCCTGTAAATATTCAGATGCCCTTGACCTGAGATCCCAGGCCACACCTGCCCTGGCTACCACCACCTGCTGTGGCTTTCTTCAGCCACAGTTCTAGAGCTGGAGGCTGAGCTCACAGCTGCTCACCTGCCCAGCAAGAGCCAAGCACAGGCAAGATGACCACACGCGCTGGGACCCTAGAAACCACTTCAGATCCTGCCAAACTTCATCATGACCCAGAAGCTGAGACCCAGAGAATGCTGGGGAGGTTTGGACTGCCATACAAAGCCTTAGCTCTGTGACGTTCCAACCAGGTGACCGCCTGGCCACCCAGCAGCTCTTTCACATTCCAGGGTCCAAAGCACAATTTGCTTTGAAGTTTAAAAGTGTAATACTCCACAAGTGAGTTGAAGTTGCTAACAAACATCTCCAGGGTCTTCACAAAGCTTACTTTGAGGGGGTCCAGAAATAGCTCTGGGGTTCTTTTGTTCCCATGAGCGGCCAGGAGAGGGTGGGATCTCAGTAGCCAATATGCCAGGGACCATGGCAACAGAGGGGAGGCAGGGGAAGTATTTATGGGCATAGCACTCAGGCCAGGGGTGCAGACCTAGTCTGGATCTCCCTTTCTCTCCCAATACTTGCCAGCTCTTGGGGAAATAACCACTGGACCCTTGAAAAGCCTCCATGCCCCGTGGTCAGCCATGCAGATGGGCCATTCCTGAGTCTCAGCCTAACCTAAGGCCTGCATTCACAGGATGTTCCTCTGGGAACTAGGAGCTCAGACAGCTAGGGAGACATCTGACGTTTCCCACTCTGCCCTCCCACCTGCAGGAGCCTTACCTGTGTCCAGGACCTGTGGTCCCCCCAGAGGAGGGGGCTTGGGAGTGGGTGGTCGACGGTATACCACATGTACACGGCCCTGCTCAGCCTCCTGCTCTGCCAGCCCCTTCTCCAGAGGCTCAATGAAGAACTCCTCCTCCTCCATCCGAATAAGACCAGCCTGTGGGGGCAAAGGTAAGATGTTCAAATTCCCAGTGCAGAGAAAGGAAAGCAGTGAGGAGAGCATGGGTGGAGACAAAACCTCCCATCTAAGGAGCCTGCCCAGGACTCCCAGTTCTCAGCTAAAATCCAGGGTGAGCTAGAAGGGCACAGACTGGTGCCCGCTCATCTACTCAGAGGTTCAAAGGTCAGAACCACTGGACAGTGCCCAGCCTTGTCTAGGGGAAGGGCTTTGCCTGGGACAATGTTCCCCATCACATACACAGCTTGCCTTCCTTCCAGAAAAGTGACTGTGCTTTTTTAAAAGCCCCACAAGCCAAGAAGAGAAAGAAGGAATTCAGATGTGGGTGGTCCTAGAGGGATACAAAGAATCTGGCATCCAATATGGCCTGAGAACTACTCTCATCCCTGGGAGCCCAAGGTCCAAGATACAGGTAAAAACTACCAGTGAGGACAGAACTTACCCACACACATGTTCAATTTGGACCTAATAATCTTTTTTTTTTTAAGTTCTGAATCAACACTCCGTGAGATTTCATGTTTTAAAGGTAGAATTCTAAACCAGGCACAATGGTTCGTGCCTGTAACCCCAACTACTTGGGAAGTGGAGACAGGAGGATTGTAATTTGAGGCCAGCCGGAGCAACACATTAGTGATACCCTATCACAAAGAAAAAGTCAATTATAATGGTTCACACTCGTAATTTCAACTACACGGGAGGCAGAGATAGAAGGAATGCCATCCAATGCCAATCTGGGCAAAAATGGGACACAGATACTAGTTTGCTGAGAAAGAACTTGAAATAGAATTTGGGGATAGATGCCAGGGTCAGGAGGGTTTCTGGTCTGTGATTGGCTGAAAGACATTCCCCTGCCTTCCCCTCTCCACCCCCCCCCTTCCCCCGGCCGCCACACACACACACAACTCCAGAAAAATAATTATCCAGTTTCTGGTTTCTGGCCCTGCTTGGGGAATTGTTCTGGATGGTCAAAGTGGACCTTAAGTGTAATCATATGCCTTCTTCCCTAATAAAGGTGGCAGAGCACATTTTGACCAGTAAGAGGAAGATAAGAAGTGACCAGGGAGGCAGAGATTTGGGGGATGAAGCCACACACCATGGAATGCTAGTAACTACCTGAAGCTGAGAGAGAACAAAGACGATTTCTTCCCAGGGGCCTGGAAGACAAAACTCAGCCCTAGATTGCAACCAGCCTGTTGTGACTCCAGACTTAAGGTCCTCAGAAGTTGTGGGAGAATTAATTTCTGTCCGTAGAAGGAATTTGTTATAGCGGTCACAGTAAGCAAATACCAGGTCCCCGTGGGTGGTGTAGTGAAGGAGAAGACTATAGAGCCACAAGGACCACACCCAGTGGTCCAGGAGGCCAGGGAAGGGCAGTAGGAACAAGCGGAATGAGCTCACCAGGCTGCAAGGAGACCATCTGGGGGGAAGCCTGCAGGTCCCCACACTTCCAACTCATCTTTGTGTCTAGGACTGGCAGGGAGTCAGTAAATGGTTGAGGGCTGAGTAAATAGATGACCCCAACGCATGGGGACATGTCCTCTGAGAGACATACAGATGGGAAGGGCAAGGGGGTGGCTCCAGTCCAATGGCACATGGTGAGAATGTTTACAACAGCAAGAAATTCATTCCAGCACACTGTCACGGACCGTCCTTTATGTGTGTGGCTTTGGGAGAGACTGTTGTCTGAAAGGTACCTTAAGTAAAACTCACTTAAGAAGTGTGGGAATTAACCCTGGAGGGGGCAGCCGTATATGGGCTATCCAAACAGGAATCCAGTGCTCTGGCTTCCCAGCATCCTTTTCAGCTTGGTCAGGTGACCTCAGAGAAGGTGCCAAAGCTCCTTGGGACTCTATAAGTAGAATCTGTTTCCCCTTACAAGGTTGCTGCTAGAGCATGTGCAGCCAGGGACACCGAACCAATGTATGTGTGGTTAGTGGTCCTCAACCCAAGCAATGTCACTCAAGCCTGCTTACTTTCCACATGAGGAAACGGAGTCCAAGAGTTGGAGGAAACCTGACGGAGGCATCCCCTGACCTCAGGCCAGATCAGACCTATTGCGGACAATTAAAGAAGGATGTTGGGGTACCAAGGAGTCCTCTTGCACTTGGGACTAAGGGCCATCTATAGCACAAACCCAAACCTAGGGTAATCCTATGGGGCCTCCCATGACAGTAAGTGTATGATCAGCATGCTAAGGAACAACTGTTTTTGATGAGAGATCTCAGGGGATGATGGTCTAGGATCTCCTGTGCCCCAGAGGTAAGGTTCTGACATGAACACCCTGGATCCAATTGATTCTACAATGATCAAGAAGCCAGAATACAAACTGCCTGGCAGGGCACCCTTCCAGGTGTCCACCTGAAGGCCACTAGTGTCCAGTGAAGTGTCAGGTTTTTCTCCCACCACCAGAGACCTCAAGGCAACAATGTTCTCAACTAGAAGATAGTTGATATATTCCTCACTAGCAGCAGCCCATCAATTGTTGGCTATTAGGAAATGCACACACATGTCATCTTGATGAACTTGGGTGACACCTGTCCCACCCTAAGGTCAATGGATGACCATCAGGAAAACAATATACAACCAGCTCCAAAGGCAGCACGTGAGCCTCCTGAGACTAGGGACAGATCACTCTCTAGATAAGTGACTGCCCATCCTCAAGCCCAATGGACAATCATCCCCAAACTAATGGATGGTCAGATGCTTATAACCTTCAGAAGATCAGCTGATCTCTTTCCAAGACCACTGGTGGGTGAGGGGGGTCTCCTCTTCATACAGAAAGTGGAGTTCATCAATAAAAATGCCTGATCTTCAAATATTTTAGTATGCATCCCAGGAGCAATCTGTCTAAACTGCAGAAGAAAACTGACAAGAGAACAAGGCACAAAATATAAGCTCCATTGGGCTGAGTTCTTTTCTAGGACTTTGATTTTCCTGCTGCCAGTGGCAAGTGTTATCTGTTTTTTACATGTATTTTTTTATTAATAAGAATCAGTTTCCCCTCTCAACTCAATAAATATTAAAGAAATCACTCAAGCACACCAGTCTGAAGAGCACCCAACTGGGAGTCTGTTGGGGGGCTCGCTTGTCTCATCCCATTTCTGCCCAGCCTGGTGTCTTGCAGAAAGATTGATACCCAGACCTCAGCACTCATTCTGCAAGTCTGTGACTTCCTGCCAAACCCAAGCAGATTTTCCCCTGTGGGGCAGAGATGCTTCCTAGCATTCTGTCCCCAACCTTGGGTGTCACCACAGAGAACCAGAGCCTCTCAGTACTTTGGCCACTAAGTCATCAGGATTCAGGAATTACAAAATGCCCACCTGACCTCCTTCTTTGATGCCCAGTTCCTTAACTGTCTGATTTTCTGGTGAAGTAGTCACTAGAAATGGAAACTAAGAGATAAAAATTTTATAAGTATCCAAAGACTTAACTGTTATCCTCAGCTACCTGGAATTTTAAAGCATTCAAAACACAGATGCCCTCAATGATAAGGTTTCATAGGAAACAAGCTGGCGTCCTGTTCCCCTGGGCAAAGCTGTCTGCTTATCCTCACTGGTTCCTCCCGTGGGCGTCCAAGGCTGCAGCATACCAGCAGGCCCTCCACATGTGCATGACTGTAACAGGTTCTACCATCAACCTTGTCATTTCTGCAACCTCCAGCACAAAGACTGCCAGGTGTTTGTCAAGGAGGCAGTGGTGATAATCAAGGGTAGAAAGAAGCCAAGCGTGGTAACTGTTACCTCTAGTCCCAGCAACTTGGGAAGTCAGAGATTTGGAAGATCACAATCCCAGGTTAGTGGGAAAAAAAAGTTCCCAAGACCCCAACTCAATCGATAAAGTAATGTGCTGGTTCACCCATGATGTCAGGTATGCAAGTGGTCAAACACAGAGGAAGCCAGACTTGGACAAAGACAAGGCAGCAGAGATCAGTGCTAGTTCCCTCTTTTTTCCCCCGAACTTAGCTTTGTTCTAACACACACACACACACACACACACACACACACACACAGAGCCTTTCCATACTCTGGCCATCAGAATCTCTCCTACACCCCTTCTTCCTGTCAACAATGAATCTGTATGGTTCCATTGGACAATATGGCAACAGCCATCCAGTTCCACCTGCCAAGAAAAGTGGATTTCATGCTGATCTAAGCAAGAGTGCCACCCAAATATGTCTGCCACTCCGAGGGTGTCACCTGATGGAGCCTCTCAGACAGATACTTCCACCTCTCTTAGTGATCCCTCTAGGATTAGGGCAACCCTGGAGCTTCCTGGGAAGGAACTGACTCTCTCACCACTGACCAATCACAGGGCTGTGTATTAGTTGCTCTCATATAGCTGTGACACACCTGGGAGAACAATTTAAAGGAAGGAAAGATTTATCTTGGTTCAGACAGTGGCTGCTTGGCCATGTGCACTTGAACAGGACACCATGACAGGAGGAGGTTCTTCTTCTCCTGGTGGACAGGAAGTGGAAACTGGACAGCACCAGTAGTTCATACCTATAATCCTAGCTTCTCAGGAAGCTAAGATTTGAGGATCACTGTTCAAAGTCAGCCCAGGCAAGAAAGTCCATGAGACCCTGATCTCTAATTAACCACCAAAAAGCTGGAAGGAGAGCTCTGGGTCAAGTGGTAGAATACCCCCTTGATCAAAAAAGCTAAGTGACAACATTCAGGCCCTGAGTTCAAGCCCTAGTACTAGGATGAGAGAGAGAGAGAGAAAAAAAGAGACTACTTGAAGTCAGAGAAGCCACCGCTAGTAAAATTAACACGCATCTTCCCAATTCCTGAGGATAGGCCATCTAATAAACATAGAAGACTAGACAAATAGAAAAAGAACACACAAAATAACATGTAAGTTACATGACCAAAGAATAAAACATAGGTACTATCACTATAAGTAGAAACCGCAAAATATTTCAAAAACTTCGCAAAAGAGTTCTACTCATCCTAACAAATTTATGCTAGATCAAAAGG